TTGACATAAATAGATGGGAAAAGAGAATTGAAATTAAATGACTGTCAGGTTTCCATTTGATGTAAAATACTTTCAAAATTGAGGATGCATCCCTGAACTTATAATTTCATTATTTTCTTCCCCAGAAAACAAAAGCACAATTCTTGAAGAACAAAATATATTACTTGTTACAAACGTTTTTAGGGATACATACAAGGATAAAATTTAACAAGGCAATGTAATAAAAAAAGGAACATGTGCCATTAAATGGAATAATGAAAGACTTTTTCTAAATGAAACAGGTAGTCCCATCCAAAAAAAAAAGTTTTATATTACTCATTATTTTTTTTCAATTATATTTCAGTGCTATATAACTTCAACTGTTCAATTATTAGTTTTGTGGAGGTCCTTGCTTGTTTCTTATTTATACAAAAGATGTTTAACTTCAGCCAACAGATTTCTTATTTTTGTTGGTGTTTTTGTTTGATTGATTTTGTTTGTTGTTTGTTTTTTTTTTTTTTTTTTGCTTTAAGTTCAAAGTTGACATTGAGAAATATTTCTTTACTGAGAGGGAAGTCCAACACTTAACAGACTATTCTTACAAAGAGCTGGTCAATGCCCCAAGCCTGTCAGTGTTTAAGAGGCATTTGGACAATGCCCTTAATACCAGGTTGTAAATTCTGGTGGGCCCTGAAGTGGTCAGGCAGTTAAGCTAGATGGTCATTCTAACTAGGTAGGTCCCTTCCAATTGAAATATTTTGTTCTATTCTGTTTTATTCTATTCTGGTCTATTTTTTAAAGACTACTTTTTTTGGTTGTTGATGGAACATTTATATTGATACTTTTTTTTTTTTTTTTTGAAATTACCAAGCATGCTTGTGCTTTTAGGTAAGGATTTGAAATTTATATGGGAGCAATGTTGGTACCAGACATTAACTAAGAGAAGAACTTCCATTGTGTAGGCAAAGGCCCTGCACAGCATGGGACTCATTCAGCAGCAGGTCTGTGTCTTCCTTGATCCTCCTTTTACTCTTTATACAGTTGTGGGTTGTTTCTTGTTGCCCTTCACATCCCTTAAAAGATTCAACTCCATCCTGGCCTTGACTTCTCTAACCCTGTCCCTGAAAGATCAACCAGATTCCACCTCTTGTGTGTGGAATCCATTTCATGTCTGATTTTAGATAGTAGCTCTTTGCTCATCCATGCAGTCTGCCTGCCATCTTTGCTTGGCTTTTTCCCTTCACTTGCTTCCTGTCATTCATAAAAAAACTATGAAAAGCCAAGCCATGATGATACAAGGACAGACCACAAAATTACTTTTTTTGAAGTCATTGTTTAAGAGTGTGAATTTTAAAAATTCCAGGAACACTTGAAGATTGCTCTCCTAGTCTTTTCCCATAGGTAGAAGATGTGTTCAAAGTATACAGTAGAGATCTTTACACATGTGTTTTGCAGCATATTAAAACAGGGAATCAGGTTCTTCTGTCACAACAATGGACTGTACTGTCTCAAGCTGACTGAACTTATTTGTCATGGAGTTTTAGACCATTTTATATAAATTGTTCTTTGTTCCCTTTATCCCACTCACTCAAAGCACACTGAAATCACAACCTGTTAATGTTAAAAATTAAAAAGGGTAATTTCTTCAAAAAGAGATAATCTTGCTATTTTTAAGGGCTTCATGTAGAGGCTGTGAGCAATGCCATGAATAAATAAGTAACAGTAAAGGAAAATTACTCAGAGACTATTGGTTGTTTCGGCTATAAGTGAAGAAAAAAACTAAACTGGGACAATTTGCTTTGCTGAACTATGTGGTGATCCAAGACCCATTTAACAACACCAACGAAATTATACAAAGGGGAATAAAAAGAGAGGAAGGAAACTGATGAAAGTTAGTGACGGTGCTGAAAGTTGCAGCTGGCAAGTACAACCACCCAAGAGTTACTGCTGTGGGTAGAAGAACTGGCAGAGTGCCAAGATCTGTTTGTGCAGTTTGATCCAAAATTAAAATTGAAGTCAAAAGGGCTAATTTTAATTTGCTTACATTACTTGGATTGTTCTCATCCTCTGTGTGTCTTGCTAAGAATTTTCTCTTCCAGCAATCAGCATCAGAGGCCCCGGCTGCTACTTTTCACCTCACCCTCACTATTTGCTTTTCCTATTCCTGCACGAAGTTGCAGGATGAATCTTGTTTTCTCAGGCCAAACAATCCAACACCACACTACGTGTGGACCACAAAAAGGGGCTACATTGTGACAATGCTCTGTCCTTGTCTTCTTGAGAGTGATGACCCAGAGGACATGGGCAAGTTAATCAAGCACACTCCTGCAGGCAGGCAGAAAAAGTTCTCCAGGAAAACAGATCTTATGGTACCAATTGCAGCTTTTCAGTTCATGGACTAGGATCGAGAAAAAAAAAATCAAATCAGGTAATCAGAGCTGCCTTCCAGTAAACAAAACCTAAGGCAGGTTCTGGGCCAGTATCTGCCTGCATGGGGGGGAGGTGGGAGGTGCCAAAGCCCTACATCCCCCTACTGCTAAATCTGATATTTCTCTCAGCAGTAGCAAAAATAGCTCAACAATGCCCAGCTTTATACATCAGTTTGCTTGACCCAGATGCCATTTTTATTCCCCAGCACCTCAGCCCTCAGTTTGGGTTCCAAAGTAGTAAAAAGAGAGATTTTTTTTTTTTAACTTATTTTTGTTTGACCTCAGTATATGAAAAAGAAGACAAGGCTGATGGGAGGGATAATTACTTGTGGTACAAGCATACATGGTATAAGGAAAAGGTAGGTGAAAATGTGGTGTTCTTTCTTGAGAATTTGAACTTGTTTTATATGTAGTGTATCAAAATCAAAATTATTATAATCCAGAAGGTATTTTAGATATCTTTTCTTTGTTTGTTATCTTCCTCTATCCCTTTGCTCCTAACAATGAGCTACCTTAGGAACTCTGCAGTCCGGTGTATTTTAACTGGGTGAAAAAAAAAGGGACAAATTTGGCTCCATCACACTCACATCTTCTCTAAGGACAGATAAGACTCATTTTTTTTGGAAGAAAAATGTGTTTTTAACCCAAATGAGGACATGTGGAAGTTGCCATGTCCTGAGGAACAAGAGGAATTTGGACCTTTGCCTTTGTTTCTCTCACTGACTTTTGCAATGCTGACTGTGGAAACCATGAGTGACATTAGCTTTCCATTAGCTATCACCTATGACCTAGTTTAGTATTTGACTTTTGTGTTGCTTGTTACTTTAGTTCCAGAAACTAATGACTCCCTGGAGGAACTTGATCAAAGCAGGGACCTAATGGGTCTTCTTGGGACACGCATATTTTGATTGATGTGACTAAGCTGAAAAATGTCTCGTTGGACAAACAGTGCTGCTGGGTTAAAATGGACAGTGAACATTTTAGGTAGGGATCTAAGGGGAATGAAAAGAAGACTAAAAAACTTCATGGCACCACTTCTGGGTGTACTCCCAGCCATCCATACCTAGTACCAGGCATGACAGACAAGTTTCTAGTCTTGAGAAATTTGCAGCAAAATGTAGTTCAAGGGTCTCAGGCAGCATAATATGTGTGCCCAGGGCACTTAACATGCACCATGACTGACTTGATCATCTGCCCAAGAGAGCCCCCTGCATGAGAAGAAGGTTACTGTACATTTTCTGATGCAAGCACAAGAAAAGCTCAAGACCAGCTAGGAAAAAATGATCTAATTGAGAACTGTGTGAATGGCAGATCCCAGAGGGTCATAATCAATGGTGCAGGGTCTAGTTGGAGGCCTGTCATTGGTGGTGTTCCCCAGGGTTCAATACTAGGCCAAATATTGTTTAACTAATTTGTTAATGACTTGGATGAAGGGGCAGAGTATCTCCTCAACAAGTTTTCTGATGCCACAAAGCCGGGAGGAGTGGCTGATACCCCAGAGGGCTGTGCAGCCCTTCAGAAGGACCTCGGCAGCTTGAAGAGAGGGTCAGAGAACTACCTGGCATTCAACAAAGGCAACTGCAGGGTCCTGCACCTGGGGAGGAATAACCCTGGGCACCAGCACAGGCTGGGGCTGACCTGCTGCGGAGCAGCTCTGAGGAGAAGGACCTGGGGGTCCTGGTGGACAACAAGCTGTCCCTGACCAGCAGCGTGTCCTTGGGGCCAAGGCCAGTGGTGTCCAGCGATGCCTAAGGAAGAGTGTTGCCAGCAGCTCGAGGGAGGTGATCTTGCCCCTCTACTCAGCCCTGGTGAGGTCCCACCTGGAGTGTGCAGTTCTGGGCTCCTCAGCCCAAGAGATGTTAATCTCCTGGAGAGGGTCCAGCAGAGGGTGACAAATAGGATAAGGTGACTGGAGCATCTCAACAGGAAAGGCAGAGAGGGCTGGGCCTGTCCAGCCTTGAGAAGAGATGGCTGAGGAGGCCTCACCAATGTCTGTCAGTATCTGAAGGGATGGTGCCAAGCAACAGGACAAGAGGAATTGAGCGGAAACTGATGCTCAGAAAATTCTACCTGAATATGAGGAAGAACTTTACTGTGACGGTGACAGAGCACTGGAACAGATTGTCCAGTAAGGGTGTGGAGTCCCCCTCACTGGAGATATTCGTGAATCACCTGAACACAATCCTATGCCATGTGCTCTGAGATGAGCCTGCCTGAGCAGGGAGATGAGAACAGACAACCCACTGTGGTCCCTTCCAGCCTTGCCTGTTCTGTGACTCTGTGATTGATTCTGTGATTCTGTGTGGTCACACCTCTGCACAGCTATCTCATCCTCATTTGCAGCAGGGCTATGGTCTCCTCTGATTGATACAGCTGTAAAAAGATAAAGCTGGAAAAAGAGATACTCATATTCTGAGATTTTTTTACATTGTATAAAGAAGGCCCTGCACTTCTGATTTGTTTGTAGCTACAGATAAGCCATTTTTTTTATTTGCTGTAGTCATTTCCTCCACTTCCCTCCAGCATCTGGTATAAAGTGATCAAAGAGTAAATCCAGAGATTATGATTATTCATCTCTTCACAGTCTGTTGTCACATTCTAACCATGAGACTCATCTTTCAAGCATATTTGATGATCTTCATACTGGGCAACTTTGTGGCTTCTCAGTCACAATCTTCTGGTAAGTTCAAATTCCCATATATTTATTTAGAAATTGATATATCAGCTAGCAATATTTCTGTTTATTTTCTACCTCATGTGTTACAATATTCAGTGTTTTTTTGATTAGAAGATTGACCCAAACAAAAATGAATACCCAGCAGAAATGAAAATGTTCTCCTAAAAAAACAAACAATGACAGATTTCTATGAAAGTTTTCTAACAGAGTAGATTGCAGCCAAAAAAGACTAGCCTTCACTGAACAAAGAAGGATAAAACACATTCAAGGTAAGACTTATGCACTTAGTACTCTGAAAAAATGAACACAGTGGGAAAAGATAAGCAATACTTTGCTCCTGAGATAACACCAAGATAAAAATACTATTACTCAGCAAAATTATCAAAGACCAATTGTTTGGCTGCCTAAGAAATCTCTGTTTTAGATATTTGTCTGCAATGCCATTAGAGAAATTAAACATAATGCTCAACACCTACATCAAAAATCTAATCTTCACTCTAATTAATTTCCCACAAGTTCCCTGTCATTCATTTTACAAGGAAGAATAAATTCTTGATGATCTCATTCTATCAACCTCTAAGTCATCTCTCTGTTCTGTCAAACACATAGTAAATATGATTTTTGATAATGCTGCACCACCTGATTCCCCAGAGTTAATTGTCCCTGTGAGTCACTGGCTGTCCTGTGAAGGAAGGTGACTTCCCTGCCCTGAGACAGCAATCATCTATAGCCATGCAGTGCTGATGGCATGTCTCTGTGGAACAAAATTCAAAAATTGGAGTTGTGATGCTTATTCTATGCAGTGTTGGGATGCCTGACAATGATCAGTGATTTTCTGAGAAAAACCCCAAAGCACTCTATGTGGTGGATTCTAAGAATTATGCTATAAGAATTATACCTTGTCTCAAAATGTCTATGAAAAACTTTCACTTGCTTTGTCTTCTTGAAAAGATGTTTCCTAGTCATTCTCTGACCCATGTGTTCAATTCAGCAGTCTTGTGCACAAATGGCACTTCTGACTACATTTGTTCCTGTTAAAAAAATGAAACTGTCCTTCATCCACCAGTAGTACTAAGGGCAACTAAAGACTATTGGTTCAGATCTGGGTCTTGTTCTCCAGTAGTTCCTGTACAGTGTACTGTGGTTAGTTATCAGGTTTCGTCAGTATAAGGAAATCAAAAGTGGTTTTTCTTCTTTGTTATGCATCAATGAGGTTGCAACTGTTCCAGTACATACATGTTTCATTCTGTTATCTTTGAAGACTGATATTCTGTCTCTCTCTTTCTTTTTTTTAAATTTTGTTCCATGACATTTAACCTTTTTACATGTTCTCTTTCAGTAGTATTTTTTCTCAGCAATAAACTTTGAAAAATAGAATGGGAGTGGAAAGAACTTGCTCATATTCTTGCTCATGGTTGTGTCTGCATAACTTTTTACTCAAGGAATTTATTTTTTTTTTCCCTGTAGAACTACTTTCTCCACACACCATAGTGGTATTTTCCATTCTTCTCTGTCCTGAGAAGAATTAAGTGAGGTTCAAGTCTTGTGCAGAACTTTACCAGTTCTGGTAAAAACCTGTCTGGTTTTAAGGAAGGTGTAGGCTTGGATAATTCTCCCTGAAACTCTTGCTCCTGTGCACTGGTCCTGCAGTGTCCTGCAGTATGCTGCATACCTGGGTAGACCACCAGGTCATCCTCTGACAGAAAGTTGTGCCACTCTCTTTTAGCCCAGGGACTGCCTACTCAAAACATTTTTGACCTTTTCATCTATCCATTATTATAATAGAAAGAATACTTATGAATGTGTTGCTTTGGTGTATTGTATGCCTCCAGGATCATAATTAGAAGACTTTAAATATATGTAATTACAAATTACAAAATTACAAAAAAAAATTTGTAATGTGGGAGAGCTGACATATCAGCTGAGAATGATCTATGATGTCACAGCTGAATTCAAAAAAATTCCATCAAAAGCAGAGGGAGAGAAATGGTCTCCTCTATTCTCATTTTCTTTCCACTAACAGAAGATACAAAATTATTCTGCCAGCAGAAGTATAGGTGTATACTTACTTAAAACCAAACATTTTTTCAGTCAATGGCAAGGGAAACATCATAAAGAAAAAAAACATATTTCAGATAAACTGTGTATATCCCCAGAGGATTTGGTGTCAGTTTAATCTAAACTTTAAAGAAACTCACTTAGGTTATGCATGCCTTCATATTGAAATTTAAATTATACAAATTACAATTATACATGTTATAATTTGAAAAGATACATGCAAATACCTACTGTACATTTACAAAAAATACAACTCAAACTACATTCAAAAAGGCTTCAAAACTCATGAAATTAGGAAGAAAAGAAGAAAATTTCTCTGACTAAAGCTCTGAAAACAAAGTCTTTAATGATAAAAGATTGGTAAGATTCTGTCCTACATACCTAGTTAATTATGTTGAAGCTGATTTCTTATGAAATTCTTTAAAATTAGAGCACAGGAAAGAATATGTATATACCACCAGATGGTTTATCATAATTTCTATTCCATTTCAATTAACTTTCTATGTATTGTTAAAGAATTTGATAATATATTGCTTTCCATTTTAGTACATAAATAACTTCAGTTGTTGGAGTTTATACTTTTATGTTAAAATTCCAGCATTTTAATTCATAATACGTAGGGATTTTTTGCAGAAAAAGGTTCTGATTTAGATATATTTATTTATGATATTAAGTTGATACAATCTGACCAATCCTGCTGAAGTTAACTACTCAGGTCCATGGATAAATCACTGCAGGAATGGAGTCAAACTGATATTCTTTGCCATACAAAAAATGTTCATTGCCAAACCTAAGATTTAGTCTTCACCTCTGAATTAACACTTTACCAAATCTTTGCTTCTCTGCTGGCAGGTTGTAGGATATAGAGTCAGAGATTCAAGGAGACTCCCAAGCATAGATAACTTATTTGAGAGACAAAGTTAGTCTAAATTTTGTCAGCACATTTATTGTCAGATGTGTAAAAGAATTTTGGGTAAGCAATTTCTGTGTGCTCTCTCTCACAATTAATGAGCCAGTGCTATCCATCTTAATTCTAGAAATTTCCCCAGAAATATAATTTGTGAAAAAAGAAAAAAAAAATTGTTGATACTGCCCAGTAAGATAAAATCAATTCACAAAGAATAAGCATTATAATATTGTTTTAACGTCCTGAACTTTGAGGGATGAAACTCCTAGCACTGCAGTTTTTCCCTTTTTGAGATATTTAAAACAAGCTTTTCCTCTCCTTGCCTCTGTTACAGTGTTCTGTATTTATGTTATAAGCTCCTTTTTCCCTCTTCTTTTTTTCTGTACCTATACAGCCCTTGTGACCAAGTTGACTGAAGACCTCAGATCAACTGTGATGGAAAGAGACATTCTGTAAGGGGCTGCAGCAACAGGAAAAGGGGCGATGGCTTTCAAACGAAAGACTAGATTTAGATTAGATATTAGGAAAACATTCTTTACTGTGAGGGTTGTGAAGCATTGGAACAGGTTGCACGAAGAAGCTGTGGATGCCCCATCCTTGGAATTGTTTGAGGCCAAGTTGGATGGAGCTCTGAGCAGCCTGGTCTAGTGGAAGATTCAAAAATAGGCCCTACAAAGAGTGTTTTGCTTTCTGCCATTGTTCCCAACTATTGTACACATAGAAACAACATCAGAAATTAATTTTGAAATTAATTACCCTTGAAAATATGTAATTAAGAAATCAAGTACTCTTCCTGCTCTTATTTTCATAATTGAAGCATGATCATTAGCGGCATGATCATTAGAAGCATGATCACTTTCTCAAAGTGAAAATACAGGCAATCAGACTAATTATCCAAAAGTAGGAAGTATATATTTTAAATATCTCAGGATTTTTTATGTCTGTTTTAAATAAGAATGGAGAACATGCAATTATACACTTAATACACATTAAATATACATTAAACTACTTTTATATTTTATTTTATAGAAAATTGAAGTCCAAGAAGTAAAGGATTTCACTTACACTATGTACTGCACAGCACAACCATGCTAAAGCAGTCCACAAAAATTGAAATATGCTAATGTAATCACAGACCAAGTATCCACTGTTAGGCACTTTGCCTGCATATTTCTTAGTGGCTTTAGTAAAAGATCATCTCTTAGACCTGCAGAAGGGAATTACAAAGAGCTTGAAGCCTTTGTAGGTACTTTTTTGCAACAGAGGTAGGTAGAACTGGCTGGATAAACTCCACTTTATTACACTTTTTAAGACTTTTCACTTCTGGTATTGCCTCAGCATGTAAACAAGATTTTCTGTTTGAGAAAACAATACAAAACAAGCTTGCATGCATGAGGTAAAAGATGGAGGAGGTACTTTCAAGTCCTTTTCATGAATAAGAGCAGAATCTTTTTTCCACAGCTCCATGACTCACATAGCAGAAACCTGAAGGTACAGGCCCAGTGTGTCCTGGATTTTTGTCATAACTGCCTTGAATGGTTTTGACAAGACTACGTGTTACAGTACAAAAACACTTCCACAAAAATGTTCTAATTAGAGTAGTCATAAAGCACAAAAACACAGATACAGGCGTGAAAATAGGCAAATTTCTTACTCGAACCCACATCTCACATTCTTCATGTTGATTACAGAGCAACAAATAGCAACCATGAGAATAGTTATTCTTGATTCCCATGAAGTAATCAGAATGGCTGGATATGATAAATAGCTCATAAAGAAATATTTTAAAATTTTAAACCCCTTCAAAAGTCCAGAGTAGTATAAAATGCACACAGCAATCAAAGCTAAAATCTTCTATTCTCCTTCTAGACAGGAATATTCCAACAAAGATTTTTAGTGTTAGACACTTCACAGCTGGATAGAGAAGTCTGAAAATTTTACCTTCAAATTGTTTCTTGCTGATATATTTTCTTCCTCTTTATTCACTCAAGTAAACACAATTTCACATCTTATAGAATGCAAAATAAATATTTTTTTTAATATAGAATAGATTTCTAATCCTTCTGCTTTCTTAATTTCTCAATTTCTTCAATGTCAGGTTCAAAATCTTCAGTGTCTGATTGTGGAATCCTTTGTCCCTAGCAAGAACAGTAACGAGATGATCAGAGAGGAAATAATATCTGCGTGCAATCAAAGGACATTAAATGGTTGTTCTTGTATTTAGGGTGGAATAGGCATCAAATATGCAATACATCTACTTGTGCGGATCTGCTCTGTGTTCCTGTGGGTCTTGACTGGTCTGTATTTCCCGTGTTAGTTCCTTGCTTCTTACAGCCAACATCTGACAGTTTACACAGACATTCCCTGTAGTGTTAGTTCCCAAACAGTTTTCCTCAGTAGGTATTCTGGAGAAAGTTGTCCTCAAGGTATAGGCCTTATTCAGTGCCTCGATGGAGCCCACTCTACACTTTTTGGTCCCAGGACCACGTGTCCAAATCTCTTTCTCACGTCACTGTGCATGCCTTCATTTCATTATTTGAAATTCTAATTTCAAACTTCTCTAAGCTATTCTACTCTATTTCCTTGTATTTTGGATGTTCTTATGTCTTCTGACTTTATGATCACCTGAGCCTATTGCACACATATCTTAGAAATACTGACTGCCTACTAATGTCAAGGGATGCTTTTCATACTCACTCCTGAAATCGTATTCTCCATAAATGTCCTGAGCAGGTGAGAAAAATGCCATCAACACCACAATCATCAACTTCAACAATGAGAAGATGCAGATCACATGGGCAACAAGAGAGCTTTTCCATGATGAGAATGTGTCATTTTTTTACACGTGAGTATTGTCAGTGCCTATTCCTCTCTCGTTAAAGGATTTACTTAGGGAGAATGAAATCTTAAAGTCCATTTGAGTCTTCTGTGAACTAGAAATGCTTCTAACATTTGTTAATATCCAGCATTAAACCTGTTTATATTCACAACCTACAGAAGTGTACAAATCAATAAACCTGGTGAGTAATCAGTCACAACAGACATGATAGGAAAGATTTGTCCCTCTTCCATCATTGTGCTAAATGCTAAGGCTAATTACACCACTGAAAGTGTTTTTTCCACATAGGTGTGTATATTTTCCTTATTAACTACCATCATTGCTGACTAGCAGAAGTGTAATATTTTAGTTCAAGACAATCATAGTATTTATCTTTTCTTTCTGGGTCATATCCATGGAAGAACTTTGCACAGTACAGTCCTGAAAACAGGATCATGAGAGCATCTGTTTGAGCAAGTCACTCTTATTGGAAAACAACAGCATGAATGAAACTTGATTACTTCAGACTGCATCAAAACCCAAGGCGGGAATTTGGGTGAAGTTTGGGTGATGAATTTCCTCACACCACTGTGAAATTTGTCACTTCAAGAAAAACCATGCTCAGACTTTCCTCGGTGTAGCATTTGAAAAAGAAAAAAAAGAAATATAAAAGAAAGAGCAGTAAAAAAAATGAATTAATTGTTTTAATTGTTAAGTTTTCCATTTACCAATATTATTTCATTTACAGATTTAGTGAAGGCAAGCACAAAGTTTGGAAGCCATGTACGACCTATTTATTGGATCAAGATTATAATTCTGGATGTCTTTTTAAGACAGAAGGACCTACCCTTGCCATTTCTATCAGGAACAGCAACGGAAGTGAAGAACTTTTTTCTAAAAAATTAAAAGCTGATTTTTACAGTAAGTATGAAAAATCATGACTACTTTGGCAGATTTTCCAGTTCTCTATGTTTGAGAAGAAATCAGTTACCTGGCATATAAAATATTATTAGTGTAGTGTGCACGTCAAAACAAAACTACAGTTATTTCATGCTGATTTTTGTTCCCTGCAGTTACATAGGCTTGTGTGCAGCTGCAATCAAATGAGATAACATAAGACAGTCAGATTTGTCCCAAAATACAGTTTCAAAATCCAAATGAAAATACTAAATATATAAGCTTCTGGAATTTCACACACCCACATCATTAAAAGTAGGGATTTTTTTCTAATAGAAATCACACAAGAGATATACAGTGGAGAATTATCTGAAAAACATATTTCAAATTTAATGATAATGTTTTAGCAAAAGAGATTAAACACAAACCTGTCAAGGTATCAAACTTTGCGAATACTTTTATATCTCTTAATTTTACCAATATCTGTTAAATTATGGAAAACTGCAGCATGGTCCTCAAATTTTCACTATTAAACAGCCACCAATAAAAAAATTAATTTCAAAATTTTTAGGTAACAAAGGACAAATATCAAGGATCAGACTGAAGTCTTTAAATTAGGAAGGCAGAGTTTTCATAATACAAAAAGGCAACTAGAAGGATTGAGAAATCAGGTAGCACTCTTTTCAGCCCTTTATTTCACACTGCTGAAGACTTACCAGCTGTGTAGGCCAAGCCATGGAGTTGTCTTCAGACCCTCAGAAAACAGTGAGGGGCAGATTCGGCTGTGCATATAGTGCACATGTGCAGATAGCCCAGGGCTTTTGCAGATACCCCATCATATCCCACATAGCCTCCTGCAACTGCAAAAGTCTCTCTTGGAGGTTTTGTAGTACTGAATTTGTCACTTCATTTCCCATAAGGAAGCTTGTTTCTTTGTCTAGATTGCAGGGAGTGTGAGGAGACCAAAGTCCTTTCTTTAACTAGCTACAATAGGTTCCTGACATGAGTTACTGCCTTTGAATGTGGCATCTAAAATGGTGAACAGTGTCATGGTGTCATGCTCCATTTTGATGTTGAATAGGGAGGTCAGCTGCAAAAGCAGAACCTCCAAGAAGAAAATCCACCTTTTTCTCTTACTACTCAATGAAATACTGAGCCAAGGAAGGAAAAAATTATTTTAAATGTAAAGTGCTTTTTAGGATGCCATAGCAAAATTTGTTTCTCTTCTTCTTAGTAAAGCCCAGTCCACCAGAAAATGTGACCTTCTTCTGGGAAGATGACACTGTTACTGTAAGCTGTAATAAACCAGAGAGAAATGCATGGTGCTTGAGACTTGAGCTTCAGTACAAAAGCAAGTTTGACAAAGAGTGGCAAGTGAGTTGTATGTCACAATTTTAATCAACACTGAAAGCAGTTGGACATCACATTTTTAATCAACACTAGAAGGAGCTGGAAGTAGCATATCCATAGAATATAAAATACAGTTGTTTCCAAATTTTCTCACATCCTATATTTTCAAATATAGCTTCTAGAAGAAAACATCTAGATTTTTAGATCCCTGGGTCTCTGCCATGCCAGAAATAATTTACAAGTTAAAGGCAGCTCCCTAAGAACTGAGGGAAATCTAAGAGAAAAGCCTACATTCAGAATAGAGGAGTTTGGAAAGATAGAAACAGAAAACAGATTAGTGAAAAGAAGAAAGACAAAAAAAAAAAACAACTATTGAAATAGTATATAAAAAATAAATTACATGGGATTCTTATTTCTTCTCAAATTAGCTGTTAAGTATTTCCAAATATTATTATTATTTCACTAACTTAAACCTTTCTATTCTCAAATTTAACTTGTAAATATTTTGTGGATTGGAGTGTCTTTGTGTATTGTAAATATGCAACTGTAACATATTGCACTATACAATGATTGTTAGGACCCTCAACTCAATACCATACAACAAGGAATGGATATGAATAGTCAAAAGTCAATCAAGAAACAGAATTCCTCAAAACTCAGAGAAGTTAATATTTGGTTCTGAGGTTTCGCATTGGCCTTTCCCTTGTCCTAGCTGTGATCATGACTGAGTGCAGCACTTTGAAGCACTGTCTTGAAAACCAGAATTAACAATGATAAAACTTCTTTCTCAGTCCAGAACTTCTAAGTGCTGCAGTGTTGGAGAGCAAGGCTTTGATCCAAGGAAGTGCTACTCTTTCCGAGTCAGACTGAGGAGGCTCGTACCATACTGCAATGTAGTCAAATACAGCAGTGACTGGGAAGCTGAAACATTTTGGATGAATGGCACGTTATTAGGTAACAGATAATATATATATTTATAAATAAAAATAGTCTAAGTGCAAAAAAAGAAGGGGTGACTGCAAAAGAAGCTGAGGACATGCAGCAAATGAATGTTGCACTATTGTTCTCTATCTTGTGTTATCAGAGAAAGTTCATGTGAATGTTTAATTGTGCCTCTTTAATTTAACTCTGTCCACTTTGTTTCTGATGGCCCCTGAAGCTATCAGTTCACGTCCTAATCAGCAAAGTGTTATTATTTGTGTTATAATAGCATCGAGGATCCCCCAGTGACAGTGATGTGATGCATGGGGGCTCTGTAGGTGTGGGTGTTGAAGGGGGATGCCCATATATGACATTTGGATATCAAAGATGAACTCTGAGAAAGTCTCTGGTGTCAAATTTTTAAAGGCAGTTTGTTTTGCAAGTAGATCCAGTTGAACTACAGGACCACAGGTCACAGAAATTTGATGCTCAAGGGTGTTGGATTGATCGAAATGAGGAGGATGGGGAAAAAGATATTGAGGGGAAGCAATGCCACTGTCATCAGTGCTTTCCTATCAGACAATTGAATTTAACTGAGGGTGACTGACATTAATTAGATTATCAATGTAAATAATATTCCTACTGCAGATCAAAACCAAACTCCCGATTTTCTGTAGGAAAAAAAAAAAAAAGACTGTACACTATACCAGCACATTTAATTACCTAAGCACAAAAT